TATTTGATACTATTTAGTGCAGTAGATAGTAATAGATAGGGGATAGAGAGCGGTTAGTACGGAAAGATACGTCGTATCAGAGGATCTTAAATCATTAAACGGTAAATGAGAAGACTAATTAGTGGGCGAACAACTGTTTCCGGATATTCCTAGTCATGCTCTTGCATAGCATATATTGGAAAGAAGCTTGCAGAAGGACAACCACTGCCTCAATTTGAGGTCATTGATCGGAGGTAGAGGATAGAGAATGTAAGTGTGTAATAGCTTTTAGTCTGTTGGTTGATGTGGCCTTTGTTCACTTGGGTCAAGGGACACGTCATTTTCTGTCTTGGTTTTCACAATAGGCTAAGACAGCTGAAGCGCTCGAATTAACCTTTTTTGGATACACAAGTCTGAGTGCAGTAAGCAAATGGCGATCGCATCACCTAAGGCTAGTGTTCCAACACGGGCCGTCTTAGATCGATGGAGTAGCTTGCGACAAACAGAATCAAAAGCTTTCTCCCGTCCGATTTTGTGTGTCTGCGACGTGACTTACGAACGCGCTTGAGATAGTACCGATCTTTCCATGACTTCACCATCGCCTTGCTATCCCTTAACGCGTTGAGACAAACGTTTTACCGTGCTATCTATGTAACCTACACTACAGATTCACTTGAAAGAATAAATAACATGAACGAGATCGCTTTCGGGAATTTCCCTATCGCTTGAGTTTGCATTAGCGGTGATGTAAAGAAGACCGGTCTAAGTTCAGCCACGGCGAACGTGATTTATACAGCTGCTCACAGTAACTGTGTGTGAGTCCCTCTTCAACGGAATCCTTGTGAATAGTTCTTTCTTGGAAGCCTAGTTGGTGGGATAAGCCCAACCACTTCTCAGAGAATGAGATTTACGCATAAACTATCTTGAGACGAAACACATACAAGTAGTACCCCAGGAAAACCTTAATATCATGCAAGCGATTCTTGTTAGATACTGTTGGATATTACCTTTTCTCTCCCCCCCTATCACTTTGATCGGGTAACTGATTTGGACTTTGCGTGATTAACAAAAAGTCATTCTCAATTAAAGTGTGAGAAAATCTGTAATCCTACTTTTCAGGGCTTTTGCTCCATCTGACTGATGTTGCTACAAGCAATAGGCCACATACACCACCCTGACTGCCAAGGCTAATTCAAATTAGGCGAACGGTCATTGACACAAGCAAACCGAGTCTCATTATCAGTCCGTTTACATAGTAATCACGTGTTTGCGCACATGCTAGGAAATAAGGCAGTAATTGACTTTTTATTACATTTCTATTAATTCATGTCAACCCACGGATAGGATACAGAACAAATTATGAATGATAGTCGAATCGTAGAGTTTGGTTTATTCCTCTCGACTGATGAGTGTCTTGAGTAGGTAAATTACCACACCAAAGCATAGATGGAATTGAAGTAACCATTCGTCAGACTTCACATTTCACACACTGCACACAATCCGCAGTCCATCCAATTAACCGTATAATTTGGAAGCAATACACTCGAGTTTTGCCCTTACCGGAGCTCGTCATTAGTGCATATCCACCTTCCGGGTTTCAAACTCAGGACTCACTTGTCATCACATGTAAATACACAGAATAAATGCAAGGTAAATTTGAATTGCAAATCCAACTTAGTAGATATGTGATAAACCAGTCAAAACCAACATGAAAGACCTGATGTGGATCAAGGTTTCCGATTGGAGTTAACAGATAGCATGGAGTCTCCCTTCATTGTTGCTGGACTAAAAGTGAACTAAATGGCTACCACTGAAGACGGCATCTGGAAGAACATGAATTATTAATTCCAATCTGCCCAATTTTGAAGTTCAAAGTTCGGACAGATCGATAGACATCCTCTGCTAATGAGCTCTAAGTAGAGCGAAACTCGTGTCTGGTGCTTCCCAAGTGTATGCCTGACCGAGAAAAGTGTGCGAAGACGAAGTTTGAGGAATGGTTGGTTTGAATTAATATCGCTTATACCATACCACTATTTATAAGCAATTACAGGGTGAACGTGATTTGATTTCTGTTTATAGTCAACCCTTACAATAATAGTTCCAAACAAGAAGATATTGCCTATTTAGTGGAGCTAACAATTGGAAGATAGCCGAATAATTGTCTGTTTTTACATGCACAGATGACCGTCAGTCGAAGCTCAGAACAGCGTTTTAATCGCTGGAAGAATATTTCTCATCCCTGAATGGTTCGATTCCTATGTTTTGGTCCACGAACTGGGTTTGTTTAGCGGAATAACCGAGAAATGACTCTGCAGTTACGACAGGGGAGATTTGTAAAATTTAGGCTCTGTGCGGTAAACACGTGGAAGATCATCATGACCATGATCGTTCTCCTCCTCATCGTCTTTTTATCATAATTACAGGTATTGGTCAAACTCATGCAGCACCCTGACTTTCATCACTCTTAATCCTACCAATGCGTAGTGTTTTGAGCTTCATTCATGTAATAGCTGTATACTCAATTTCTCGATTAACAGAATGCAGAGGTAGTTTAGGATATATTTGGTCTGCTTTCGGTTTGACGTTTGGGTTGGTTATTCGATGCAGTTTTCAGAGTATACCATGTTTACAGCCACTCTCTCATTTTTGAATGCAATATTTTGAAACGGTCATCTTTACAGCAATATTTACGATATCTGGGACGATTTGCCCATGGTCGAATTATGCAAGACTGTTTTGCTTTCGGCATTCAACCCAGCCAAGCCGGTTCTATTCTGGGTGCCACGTTCCTCGAGGGATTCGAGGTAGAGTTCGATCGTGCTAACATGCGGGTAAGTGTCACTATGTGCAAACAGACCGTCGATTCGGCTATCGTGCATATTTTGTGTTGCACCTTTTACCATGTCCGAGGCTTAATATTGCATTTATTGCTGTTAGAATACATACGAGACTGATGGGAGTTGTTCATTCTAGGTGCCCCATATGGCTGCCATTCAATTCAGTTTAGTTTCAGTTTATGCAACTATTAATCGTGTACCTTTGTTTGTCGGATCGACAGTTATCTGCTGGAAAACTGTCTGTATAAAAGTGTAGAGTAAATACTGTTACAAGCAGTGTCCGGAGAGAAATTAAGTATTTCAGTAAACTGAGGTTGCGAAGAAATTGAGTGGATGCACAGGCGATACAGTTTAGGACAATCAGCCTTACGTTCCAGTCTCTCTAACCATCGGTTACATTGATTATGAAATCTCTAGCTAGGAAGCCTAACGTCACCTTCGTGACCCATCTAGATTTTGCCTAGTCAGTGTTTTCATACCCTCATGTCAGGTTTTGGTTTGACTATCCTTGACTTTTTTCACCTTCTACTTGCTTTGAAAAACAACGCAAGTCAAAACAATCTATACGGTGACATGCGCAACACACGATTCAGTCAAAATTACCTGTTGAGGTTGACCACTTGCGCCAGAAGATGATCGCGTTCACCCAGAACTCTGCGTCTAACCTTAACATTGCTTGACCACCGCAGACCATGGAGTTAGAAAACCTATAGTCTATCTGTATCTTGTTCGCGTAACGACCAGGTCTCTGCACTAACCAGCAGCCTCAGTCGAACTGCTGCAGTACACTAAGTTGAGCAGATAAGGAAAGAGAGCATCCCTAAAGACCAACGTTTTCTGTGGTGACTTCGGGCGAAAAAGCGCCATAAGCTCGAACTCGCCATCGGCTATCGGTGAAAGAGATCATAGTGGTTCAGTAAACTTCGCCGGTAAATCCTTCAAAGAGAGGAATCGTTAGAATACAGTGGGGTCGACGGAGTCGAAGGCCACTATAACATCAAGGCGGAGATGGTGGGTTTAGGAAGAAATATCTGTGTTCCATAACTTAGCGAAAGGTGAAAATATCCTTTATGCAACCTCACATTGGTCTAAAACCAACCTGGTTCTTGAGCATGCAATGTTCACGTGAGACAGACAATCAGTGGAGTAAGGTAACAGGAAGAAGCTTAGAAGTGATGCTGACAAAATTAATTTCCTTGGGGNGTTTTCACGAGAGGATCTATCGCGTTTCCTACAAATTGGTACGACGACCGACTGACATCATGTATTGTTCTCTCACACTAAACCCAGGAGTTTCGACAAAGCCACTACCAAGAGTGAGTCTTCATTCTTAAAAGCGGATTGCGTAAACCCATCTGGGTTGCAGGAGAGCGGTAAATTAAAAAAAATAGTTTCTGAGTCTCATCACTTGTTACGAATCTCTATACCACTACTCAATTTCTGCGTTTTAATCTATAATTAAGGCGTACAAGAAATTGGAACTTCATGGGAGAGTGAAACGAGGGTCCCAATGTTTTGTTTCACGTGAGTCAACATAAGAAGAAAATTTATGGGCAAGAGAGTATCAAATAACCTAACGACGGAGCGTATTTCCTAATTTTCTATGGACCAAACAAAACAATAAGCAGTCCATTTGTCAGAGTGACTGAAGGTTCCATGTTTCATGTATCCCCAAAAAAGTTTCTTAAATGAGCTTGCAAGTCAGCCAATGTCACTGATGGTGGTCTATCCAAAGAGTCACTGCGCTGCAGTTGAGCGCCATTTGGTTCTGTTGCCACACTCGCCAGTTTAGGTTTTTGAACTGCCGGAATTCGAGTTGGTTTCGGATGAAGTGGAGGTGGACTGGACGATCTGGCTGTTGTTGTTGGCACCTGCCTGTATTGCATAGAAGATGAATTGATCCGAATTCTATTATCGTCCACTCGAGATCGATGACCGACGACGCTGAGATTTGGACTGCTCGCAAGCGTCTGTTCGGATTCCTGATTCATTTGTCTTTGTCCTGTGTAGCGAAACGATCGTCCAAGCGACAGATTCAATTGTGTGTCAATGAGCTGCGAAACACGGGTTCGTGTAAACCTCGAACTAGTCATTTTCGGCGGTGGTGGTCTTGGAGGCTTCCAATGTGACTCAACTGAATGGGATCGAAATCGTGGAATTGTCGGTAGAGTAGTACTGAAAAGTTCGCATTGTTTCAACGGCAACCCAATTGGTCGACATGGGGGATTTTGAACACAGGTTGGGACTTCCGTAACCCTAGAAAAGATAAATGAAGATAACGAATATTACTGATGCGAATTATTGTTGACTTCAATTTGTTCCTTGTCTATCTATCTATCTATCTATCTATCTATCTATCTATCTATCTATCTATCTATCTATCTATCTATCCGTGTCTATCTATCTATCTATCCGTGTCTATCTATCTATTCGTGTCTATCTATCTATCTATTTGCCTATGTACCAGATATTGAGCAATACAGGTGTTGATCAAAGACTTGCGACATGATCCCTAATTTTAAAATTTGTTTCAGTTTCTGATAGTATACCTGCATAGTAAAAGCGATGTAAAATGAGCATTAATTGGTAGTTTTATCTCGCAATTCCACCAGTTTAATTGATATAACCTTTAGTGTCACGATGTGATTAGTAGCAATCGTTCGGAAATTGCAGTTTACATTTGAAAAATGTTAGGTGCAAAATAGCATAAATGTCTTTCTTTCTAATAAATAACTATTGGTTCTTGAGCTGATGTAGCACCCAATCGATTCAAATCGCGTCTTCTGTCCTTTTGGCGCTCGGTTTATTTCAGTGATGAATGGCTACAGGTTCACAAGCAAGACACCGGACGGTGAAAGATCATTTATGCGAATAATTTTTCAAAAGTAACCATCCGTCCCACCTAATGACTCGAGTGAGGAATAAATACGGAAGGTCTTGTCTTTGGGCTCCGGTTCATTATTTTCCACTGGTCATGATATTTCAACCGACAGAATATGCAACATTTGCTTCATCGATTTCTGATCTGAACCACAGGTCTAAGCATTTCTAATAGATGACCAGAATAACACTAGGGTCATGTTTCATTCGGCAAAAATATGATTCAAGCTCTGATACTCCCCTGGTCAGGGTGAGAACAAATCTCTTGTACTCATGATAGGGACGTAAAATATATAATTTTGAATCAGTGTTTCCAACAAAGTACCAATTTGGAGTTTTCTTGCTCGCATTACTACACTCAGGACTCATCTACCTATCTGTTTCGACTTTCTGAAGTTTTTCCTATTTGCTGCTTTTTGAAAATCTTGGTGAACAATATTTTTATAATTACTCAACTGCAACATATTCCCCTTCCCCTTTCGGATTTTTCAAGACTTCGGTGAGAATTGTATGAAACATGACTCTGATGAAATTCCGGTTACCGGAGCTTGATAAACACCTGATTTTCCCTATGATATTCGATCACCTCGCATAAGCATGAGTCTGGTATGATTAGGTATGAACCCGAAGTGGTATTTTTGTAATACCACAATTGGATTCCCTATTCTCAGTTTGATTAGCTTGACTAGCAACTTCGATCATGACGTTGGTTGGATTTCGATTCATTTGTTTATAGATAGAGGTGACCACACGGAGCACGGTTCAGAATTCCGAACCCAGATCTGATGTTCCGTTTGAATTCGAGTTCAACTGAACGGGCTACAAACGAGGACTCGACAGTAAATAAAGGCGTACTTGTTTCTTTCAGGAATAACACGATCTTCTCGGTCTTCTGGACTTGTGTGATGTAGGTATTAGGTAAACGAGCATGAACCTTAGGAACTTACGAATTTACGTTTAGGGCAGTAAACTTAATGTTTGCATAGTAAATAGGTAATGTGGGTTAAAACTGCATTCCAAATCTGTTCGCCCTCCGACAGTTACCATTTGCGATCACTAGAATACGCAGCACTGCATCAGAGAAGTGGAGATCAGATTGTATATGGTCGACATATTGATCTCTCAACAGGATTCACGCCTAACCAAACCCATAAGCGATCGTCCCAAACAGAGACTCATAACTGACTCATAAGATGAGACAAAATTACCAAACTTCCTTCTTCCTAGAAGAAGAAACCAAACCAGATGTTAGAAATCTGTGAGCGAGTGAAACTGATAAACTCTTTTCATTCGTACAACATGGGGAAACGACGAGACTGCATCTTTTCTCAACCTGGTTGCATGTTCTCCAAATGCAATGCAGCTTTCACAAAGATAGCACTGCACAAGGGAGAGAGAGGAGGAGGAGCTATCAAGCGAAAGAAACGATCCAACAGGGTTGAGAAATGATAACGCAACATATAGAAATGAAGCGGAAATATGTAGATGATTTGTTTGCAGTTTATTATTCCGGATAAAAACTGAAATAAATCATTGCTCTGTTGTTGTCCGTGTTTTACTTTCTCACCTGGAACGAAATGATTGTTTTCTCACCGGTTTCTCGCTAGGCGATGACCGAGGGGAGTTGGAACGATGAGTGAGTTTGCAACGCGGACGAGCAACTTGTCGAACGTGTTGGGACAGTAGAATCATGATTCCAATGCAGGTGAAACTGAACAGTAGGTGACTAACCATACAGAGATAGACACAAGCGTATTCCGGAGTCTCCATTGAGACACGCAACAGCTTGTTGCAGTTCGAGTTTGGAGGGGGTGTACAAATGAAATAAGAACAAACTATTAGGAAAAAACAGAACTATCTGACGAAAATACTCCATCTTCGCGTTAGAAAAAGTACGTTTCTGGGTCAACGATAAGAAAAGATGGCAATATTGAACTCAGTTTGTGGTGCAAAATCATTTGATTGACAGGACAAGTTCATGGGTGCAGTTTATGGTATCGTCAGCCGAACACAAAACAAAATGCATGCCAAATTATTTGATACGAGAAAAAAAAGTGAATTGGACGAAACTGCAACCGGAATCAATTTCGCACATACATTCACTGGCTTTGATGATATCCCCAATGAGAAAAGGCGAAGCAGTGAACAATCCAAATGCTTCCAAAGCGCGTGTTCACTTCTCTAAGCTGTTTTCTGAGGTGTATACGTGGAATGATGAAATTTTCTATGCTTCCGTCTCGGGCATCCTTATACGGATTTGGACCGCGATTCAACCTAATCGATTCTATTCGCATAATGCGTCCGAATGATACAAAATTCTTTTAGAGTGCCCACAATTGAATAATAAAATAAACATCTGGTGGTCCAGTGCAATGACCTTTATTGCCCGGACATATAAGTACATTTATCTAGCATACTTACACTACTCGGTTTCAGGTTATCGCTATTTTGAATCTCAGTCATTCAGAGGTATGCTATAAATCTCGAGTTGTGCATGACACTGGGGACTTTCGAATTCGTAGCAGTTTGCATCAAACTCCGATTGAGATCAAATCGGAGGGCGATGAGCCAACCAATCAATAGAACCCCTTATTGGTAATCGCAATAGACATTACGACTCGGTATAGTACGATCAACACTGTACGGTAATCGAACTCTAGGCCCCTTACAAACTGGTTGGTTGTGAAAACTGAACTGAATCAGCTGAATACGGAACATAGGGATATGCGATGGGAGTATACGTATTCGTAAAACTGTACGACCATAGAGTGGTCAGGCGAAAAACATACTGAGAGGACACGACAAGGCAACCTTTAGATGATCTTTTGGGCTTTCGAGTGTACGACCTTGTGAATTATTGCAAAACAAAAGGGAACGGGTCATAGCAAGGTAACAGATGTAATGCTGATGCAAGTCAAATATTCATGACAACGAAAGTAATGAAAAATAGACAGTCTAAAGGGAAAATGATCATATTTATATATATATATCTTGACGAAATTTAGAAAGAGAGTTACTCGGTCGATATAAAACTGAAAATGAACAGATGTACGATACAACCAATTGACAGGGTTTATAAACTACTGTCTAGTATCGGCTTCAATAAAATACTATTAGATCGATAGGAAAATGTTTGATAATCTCAGAGAACATTAAATAGACTTTGGTCTCATCCTGGTTGATTTAGAGAATCTAATATCACGCCATGTTCGTCACAGTGGCTTCGTATTCCATAACACACTTTCAGGGAGCTTGGTGGTATGAAAGAATATCAGTAATAATGGTGAAAGGTGAAATGTCCTTCGTAAAATTCCTTTTTCGTGATTCAACTTGCGCACCTTTTCTGTTAGCACATGCATTACACGCACAATTCACATGCGGATTATTATTATCTATGTTTACCTATCGCTTGTTTTGCTCATGTTCAGCGAGTTACAATGGGGAGCAGAAGAAACGAAATTAATTATTGAACAGATTTCAAGTACACAAACTGGTCACCAGTCAGAGTACGAGTATGAGCAAAAATTACACATATTAAGGCACTGAAGTTGCGTATCATGGATGAATGGTACACAATGGAGAGAATTTGTAGAAAATCAGCTTGTGAGCCCCAGTTTTCTTAATATTTTATCACTATACCTTCATTTCGTTGAGTAATAATCTTAAGAACAAGTTTTTTAAACAGCACTCAGTGTGTACAGGTCGACACAAAATATTCAGCCCCATAAGAAACAACTGTGGATTTCTCTCTGATGGTACCATGAATTTATATAGAAATCCTTCTGCGTTCTTTCTTACTGTTTTCAAAAAAATATGCTGATGATAATTGTATCGTAGATCCTGTACCACAAATCCAAAATCACTCGACTTTTCAAAACATCCCTTTAAAATCTACTTTCTGAATGCACTGGGTGTTTAAATATATATTTTACATCTTCCGTGATCATGCTCTGACCAAAAGGTGGTTCCTTCTAATACGGTTTCCGCGGTTGAAATGATACAACGACAGAGTGCCATTCAAGCAGACAATCTCCTCAGATGTAGGCACATCAAGTACACCTTTTTTGATGGTACCATTTGTCTTTCCAATTTTTTAAGATTAGATAAATGAAGATACAGTGTGCATCTCAAACTACTCCTTATTATTAGTACCACTAGTACTGAGTGGTCATTTTAGAAACAACTGAAACCCAGTTCATTGTGGCGCGTCTGTCAAATATGAACTGCAGCAAATGTTCCACCGGTAATTCTTTACGAGAAAAGCATCACGTCTGGCTTTTTTCCCACTGATTTTACTTCCCTTTAACCCTTCCCATCCTTCCATATTTGGTGTTGTCGATGTAGCAGATTGTTCCGGCGTCTTTGATTATCTTTCACCTTCCGAAAATATTCTCCATGTTTCTTCTTCTCACTGGCAATCAGATCGAACTAAGTTGGGCTAGTGATTTCTTACCCGCAAGGGTGCATATTCAGCTCACACATACTCATTTAACATTAATAGCGGAATACCAAATAAGTCAATTAAAGAAATCAGTGTTACCCTAGTTCACAAGGTATGCATACAAAATAATATAATCAAAGTGACATAAAACGGGCAAAACAAAGAAGGAAATAATGCAGGAATTATTTGCTTTTGTATATACACAAACTTATTCGCGTTTGAAGACAGTAGGTGGCCGATTAAAATGAATGTGGACAAGGCGGAGCATAGTTGAAGCAAGGGAATAGACAGTAACGCGTGAGCCGATTTGTTTTACTATTAATGTGTTGGGATACAATATGGTGGTTTATTCAAACCCCCGGAGAATCACAAAAAAATTGGTGAGTGACATAAAAGAGCCTGTACTATTTATTGAACCAGAAAGCATGTTATGGAGGAATAGCACCGGCGATCAAAAGTTAAGTGGTTGGGTGAATTTTAGGCACGGAGTACAAAAGAAATTCTTCTCACAAATGTGAAAATATTATTAAAGTGGTTAAACTATATCAGGAAACAAATGAAAATAAGGCTCGTATATATATATACATATATATATATTACAGAAAAAATAACAAGAACAATAATGGTGTTTTTCGTATTACCCTCACAGTTACTTGTGAGTAGTGTGTGTTCAGTTCATTTGGCCCAACGGCAACGAAGGGAGACAGGTACAACTTGTTAACTCCAATCGAAAGCCTCCTACCAAGTAAGGATTTCCATGCAGGTTACGGACTGACTTGCCACATACGTACAAGGCTTGATTGATTGTGTTTTTGCTTGATTGCTTCAACGGACACACTTCGGTATATTTTTTGTTGATTGTTTGTCTTCTTATGGGTTGCCAGATTTCAACATTTGCGCTTCTGATATTCAATCTGAGCCTAGCCTCATCGTGTTTCTAACCAACGACAGTCCTCGTCCCTTTGGCCCCTATCTGGAAGGCGGGCTGCACCGAATGAAGCCCACAGTGAAGCTAACTTCACTGAGTTCCGCCAAATCATGATCAGCATGTTCTGAGAGAGTAAAGACAGACGATGGACAGAAATACGTTAAACGTGGTCGAGCCATCGGAGGCAACCCAGGGTGAACTGTCTTTTTAGACAACGACCATTGGTACCCAACACAAGACGAAGATATCATTGAGAACAAGTTTTGCAACCGCGGAGCAAAACTTCTATGACTGTGGCAATGT